TTTAGGGTTTAGGGTTTCGCACGCAGCTCATATGCATCACCACAAGACGACTCTTATCATAGGGAGTAGGCCGCACTGCCCTAACGGGCCAAGTACTGCAAAGAGCTCACTTGCTCCCCAACATGCTAAGCTACAGGTTCTGCTGTCCTATATCACGTTCTTTGGACCATAAACCCCTCAAACCTAATCTCTAAATCCCAAACCCTACACCCTAAACTCTAAATCCCAAACCCTAAACCCTAACCTCTAAATCCCAAACCCTAAACCCTAAACTCTAAATCCCAAACCCTAAACCCTCACCTCTAAATCCCACACCCTAAACCCTCAACCCTTAAATCCCAAACCCTGAACCCTCAACCCTTAAATCCCAAACCCTAAACCCTAAACCCTAAACCCTAAACCCTTAAATCCCAAACCCTGAACCCTAACCGGGCGTTTAGACCTCCGTCGGTTTGTGGCGAACCTGGCTGCCGCCCTAGAGGTCCGAATAGGGTTTAGGGTTTAGGGTTTAGGGTTTAGGGTTTAGGGTTTTTAGTATAGATCGGGCTTACCAAGATGCTCAGTTTAGGGGTGCAGGGTTTAGGGTTTGGGGCTTACCAAGAGGCTCAGTTTAGGGTTTAGGGGTTTAAGTTTAGGGTTTAGGGGTTTAGGGTTTAGGGGATTTAGGGGTTTTAGGGCTTAAGGGTTTAGGGGTTTTAGGGGTTTAAGGGTTAGGGGTTTGGTTTAGGGGTTTAGGATTTAGGGTTGAGGTTCATACCCTGCCCTTATTTTAGGGTGCCTAGTTTTCTATATAGCAGATCGAACCATGAAGCTAGATCCAGGTTTCCTGGAATGGGGAAGGGTATGACCCTCTCGGTAGCTCCCCGCTTTGTACGATCTATGTAAGTTTTTGAGATCCTTTTCCCCTAGAATCAAAATAGCCCAGAAGCCGTATATAATAGGGTCTTTGGGCCAAAAGCCTTAAAACATGAGTCCTTTGAGCCTTATGGTTCCCTAAACCCTAAACCCCTAAACCCTTTGAGGGTAAGGGTTTGGGTTGGGGTACAACAGCTCCAAAGGCACCCTGGAGTTTGAAGGAACCTCACCTCGAGGGTCCAAGCATGGAGACAGTCTCAACAACTACTAACATTTGGGGGTATAGGGTTTAGGGCTTGGGGTTTAGGGTTTAGGGTTTAGTTTCCTTTAGACCCTCCTTCCTGACAGGTGCTCGAGCGCTAATAAATCCTGTCTGAAGCCCGGAGTAGGAGTTCGAAGCTAATACTGCGCATTGAAGTATGAGTAACTACCAAACTTACTCTTCAGGGCTATCGGAGCACTTTACAGGTAAACCCTAAACCCTAAACCCTAAACCCACACAATCCTCACTATTATTCACGCCCCTAAACTCTGGCTTGATCCAGGTACAAGCGCAAGGCCGCGGATGTTCTGCGACTTCCAGATCTGGTAGTTCAGATGGTTTTGGGGCCTTTTGAGGGTTCGGGGTTCGGTGTTCAGGGCCTGTGTTTGAAGGGTTTTAGGGGTTTAGGGCCTTTTGGGCTTTTGGGGTGAATGAACCCTGAACGCATGTTTGAGGTTCCCGGTGACGATTTCCGTGCATACTTCATCAAACAGGTAAGTTTTTTGGAGGTTGAGGTGGGTTCAAGGTTTAAGGGTTCATGTTTTTCGATAAGGTTCCTTATTACAGAGTACTTACACAAGCCAGACTATGACAGTAGTTCCAGACCTTTATCTAAGCCCGACACCCGAGACCGTCGAGTCTAGTCTTAAAGTGGCTACAGATACCTTCTGCAGATGGCATCTGCAACTCCAGAAGGCTCCAAAGGTACACTGCCCGTAGTACGTAGGGTTTAGAGTTTAGGGGGGTTAGGGATCCCCCAAAACCTTAAACCCTAAACCCAAAACCCTAAACCCTAAACCGGGTAACCCGAGCCCGACAGGGACCTCGAACAGCCCAAGATGCAATGAGTACCTCGAGCACGGCAGAAAAGTAGACGAACAGCTATAGCTGCGACGGTTTCTGCAAGTATCCCCTGCGTAATATAGAACGCCTGAATCAGTTCCTTCAGGTCCCTGATCTAAGTGGATGGATATAATCTGCCCCAAACTCCTACTTTAATGATTAGGTTTTAAGGTTTGAGGTTATACTATGCTCTGACAAGGAAACCTCAAAAGGAGCCCTCTTCTAATTATCAAGGTCCCTACATGACGTACGTAGGGTCCCTTTTGGGGCAGGCGCGAAACTCGGCGTTGCTCTCCGTCACGTTGTCCTACATGGCAGCCATCCTCAAGGATCTCACGATATGGATTTGGATTTAGGTTGTGGGTTTACCAGGACCCCCCCCCCGAAATGGCCCTTTGAAAGAGCCCCTATGGTCCTTGATTGTGGGTATTCAGGGTACATTAGAGGGTAGTTGGGGGGTCTAGGTAGTGAGCTTGTCATATGCGACTGTTCAAAGTCAGAAGGGTTCGAGTTTTCTTTGAGGTTTTGCAGGGGGCTTGAATCATGAGCAACATCATTCTCTACGGTGTCATGATTCGTCATTTCTTGTGCGGGAATTGCAGCATCCTGGCTGCAGGATTTCGGGTTTGTATGGGGGTGTGAAGCTGGTTTAGGGTTTACCTTGTCAGGTTGTGTAGAGTTAACAGGACCTGACAGGGCACAGGCTGTTGCCTGTTGCTGTTAGATTCGATGCGCTTTAGAGTTTGGGGGTGGGTGGCACCAGAAAAACAGGGTGTAGGGTTAGGGTTTAGAAAAAGTCCTTCGCCTGCAGGGTAGCATGAACGCGCTGTGGTGGCTTGCACGGGGCCCCTACGATGCCCTGGCCTCAGTCATGGGAACACATCGGCCCATTTAATGTTTCATGGGCTTCCTTCTTCTGTATACACGATCCGGTCTCTTGGGGTCTATGTTAAGGGCCTAGGGGGCGTGAGTTCAATAATGAATTAAACGTGTACCGCGTTTTAGGATGTTCTAATCGGTTTCGGTGTTTATCATGTTGAAGAAGCATGGCTCGAAGTACAATCAGCACTGAACATTGGGAAAGCTGTCGACGGCTTGTCCTTCTACACAATGAGGGCTCGGGTGTAAGTGTCTACATTCTATAAGGTTTATGTTTATGTTTCAGGAGTTTATATACCCTAAACCCTAAACCCTAAACCCTAAACCCTAAACCCTAAACCCTAAACCCTAAACCCAACTGATGCCCGAGGAGGCCAAGGCCGCTTTGGTGCGCAAGCAAGTGGCACAGACACAACCGGTTCGGATTTAGGGTTTAGGGTTTAGGGTTTAGGGTTTAGGGTTTAGGGTTTAGGGTTTAGGGTTTGATCGATTTTGCAGACTCTTGGTACGCCTGGCGCAGGGCGAGAGCGTCATGGAGGGCAGTGGATGGCAACCCTAAACCCTAAACCCTAAACCGTGAGCCGCGTGTTATGGGTTTTGTGTAACAGGTCTATGGCCGGTGGGTCTGACCAGACTGACGTCAACTCCCAAACTTTGACAGAACAACTAAACCTTAACATGATTTGAAAGATCCCCTAAAACCCTGAACATATAAGTTATCATAAGTCCCTGTCTCTATCCTATCAAAACTCCGTGACATGATTTTAAGATCCCCTAAAACCCTGAAAATGGAAGTTATCATAAGTCCCTGTCTCTATCCCATCATAACCTCGCCGACCGATAACTTCCTAAACCCTATTCTGCAGGGATTGGCACGGGATCCTTCTGAACCAAAATTCAAAAGGCCCCAGCTCACAAGCATGCGCCTCGGTTTGAAACCTTCCAGTCTCAAATCCCAAGCCCTGCAACGAACGGTTTAGGGTTTAGGGTTTAAGGTTTAGGGTTTAGGGTTTAGGGTTTAAGGTTTAGGGTTTAGGGTTTAGGGTTTACCCCCATCATCACTTCTTATGAAGCTCTTATAGAACCCCTTGACTGTAACGCATGAAAGGAGCCCTGTTCCAGTGATTAAGGCCTCTATATTGACTCTTTATATTATCTTGCTTCGTTACTTTGTGGTCAGCAACCAACCCTAAAACCTAAACTCCCACAGCCCAAGCCCTAAACTCTCTAAACCCCAAACTCCAAAACCTTAAACTCCATAGGTCCATAACCCTAAACTTCCAAACTCGTAAACCTTAAGCCCCATAAAACCTAAACTCCTAAACTCCTAAACTCTAAACCTCCAAATCCTACACCCTAAACTCCCAAGCCCTAAACCCTGAACCTTAAACCCCCAAAACCCTAAGCCTCAAAACTCCAAACCCTAGAAAACCTCAACTCCTTCACTCCAGAGCCCTTGAGCCCTGAGTCGCACTTTGGCTTGAGCTCAGGCCGTGGATGCAGCGCTCCCAAGTGCTGAGGAGAGTGCATCTTGATGGTGCCCAAAAGGGTATAACATCTATATCTATATAGAAAGTTCATATATATATATACACATATGTA